ATATGGACAGTTATGCGATGAATATGCGACAATTTTCGCATAACCTTCGCACTTTTCGAGGTGAAAAACTTAGCTTTTTATTGGGCGATGTGAAAAACTTAACAAAACTTCAAAACGTGGTAAAAATAGTTATTTTCACTATACGATATTATGTACCTACCTATAGCATTACTTTTTTTATTTTTGGTGGGTCACACTCAACGTAAGTATTGTACATATCATCCAATGTGAGTGTTGTGTATAATATTAGGTACCTACAACGTTACTCATCTATGGTTCACCCTTACCATCCAATTCCCCCAACACATGACAGCTGTCATCCCCATGCCTAGCCCCTATAAATACCTACCAAAACCTGCACATTATTTTCCCCCACAGCCATTAACTCTCCTCACCTGAATATACTTTAATTAAAGAAAAAACACTCAAATTAAACTCAAAAAGAAAAAAAAAAAAAAAAAAAAATGAGGTCTCTCTGTATGGCTTCTCTTCTCCTCTTCATCATCCTCCTGAGCAACACCTTCTTCATCCAGCCATCAATGTCCCAACCGCAACAACCCTGTAAGCAAAACAAAACAAAACAAAACACGCAATTTTAATTTTCGGCAATTACAATTTAATCACGTACTTTTTCACTTTTACAAATCATATCACAATCTTCGGTTCGTTGCAAATTAGTGCACCGATTTTCATATCTCGTATAAACTATACACAATCATCAGTTTGTTGTTCGACCATATCAATTTTTCTACGACTATTTTCACATTGTTTGCAACAGACTAGAAATTGTGATATAATTTACAAAAGTGAAAAGTTCACGATTAAATTGCAACGTATTTATTTATTTTTTAATTGACTTCGATATATATTGTTTATGAGTACTGTAGTGAATTACTGCAAAGAGAGGTGCGATTCGAGGTGCGCGTTGGCCGGGGTGAAGGACAGGTGCTTGAAGTACTGCGGGATTTGCTGCGGGAAGTGCAAATGCGTGCCTTCTGGAACCTTCGGGAACAAGCACCAGTGCCCCTGTTACAGGGATATGCGCAGCTCTAAGGGCAAGCCCAAGTGCCCTTAGATCAATTTCTTCTTACTTACATCTACCTACGACGCCGTTTTATAATAAAACATATGGGCTTGTGTTTTGTATTAAGTTAATTTTTTTTTTTTTTTTTTTTTTGTTGCGTTTGTGTTTGTTGTTAGTAACAAATAATGAGTTGGATTTCGATAATCCATAATAAAAATGGACTTGATTTAATTAATTGTGTTAAAAATGTGATTATACATCTAATTATATACCTGACCTAGGTCAACACAATAATGCTCACCTACTCACGGTGGGCACATCTTAATATGTCCACCGCTTATGTGGTATGTACATATCGGTGATGTATATTTTTGAACATATTAACATCACCAATGTGTGCATGCCACATAAACGGTAAGCATATTAAGATGTGTCCACCGTGATAGGAGAGCATTACTGTAGGTCAACATTGGCACAATAATTTTCACTAAAAAAAAAACCTAGGACCTTATCACTATCATAGAATCAATTTTCATTTGCTATAATAAATAAAGATATCAATCATATGTGATGCATGATGATGGGACCACCTAGTTATGGGCTCAAATCCAATTTGTGTGAATTATGGTAAAATGTACAATAATATTTTTTTTAATTGCCTTTTCTTTATGGAGAATTCGTAATGGGGGAATTTATACACCTCTGCTGTAATGATTTACTTTTATTTGCATATATACCAAATATAAAATTTATTTGCGCTTATACATAACATAATTAAATTATTTATATACATACAATATAATAGCAACAGATGAAGTCATAAATGACTTACCTTAACAGATTCCCGTAACTGACGAGAAGCATGCCTGGAGAGAGATTCTCGATCTATATCTACGACCATCTTCCACTTCGACTTAAGTATTAAACCTATGTAAAACATCGAAAGAATATTGAAGGCAAAAGATGAACATCAGTTAAGTAAGCATAATTGTAAACTAGTTGATTCGAACTAGAACTTCGGATAGTCGATTTTGGGCTCGAGCCTTTATCGAGTTGAACTGCGTTCAATACATTAACTAATTGAATCGATAAACTAGCTGAACCCAAACTGAAGTAGTGAACGAGACTTACTTAGTTCCAGCGAAATTAATAATTCAAAAGTTACACAAAAACCTTATTTTTCAAATATAATGAGCCTTAGCGAGTCGTACCGAACCAAGTACACTTAACTAGCACTTAGACTGATGTGCGAGTTTATATGTGTGTCCCGGTGTGTCGCACCAGATAAAAGGGAGAACAAAAATGGATTATATACAAAAGATATACTGAATATATCTTCATTGTATACAGATATATAAATACAGAAAATAAATTGATATATCATTATATACAAGATATATACAGAAGATATACTGAATGTACACTATACACATCAAACTTGTAAACTAATTACAAATACACACAAAAAAAGTAAGGCAGCAAAAAAAAAAAAAA